TGGGAAAACGTTTGTTCACACAGATATGTATTCCCAAAAATGGAGATAAATTTACAAGCAAATTTCTTTAAATTTTGAAATTGCTCAGAGTTCAGAAATTTATAAAATTCGATCAAATTTCCTTCTGTTATGCCGTGGTGACAGGGGGCGTGGAGGTATCCCTCCTTGCCACCACTTATTACGCCGTGGTGACAGGGGGCGTGTAGGTAGCCCTCCACTGCCACCACATCTTATGCTGTAAGGGGTTAACACAATAATACTACAGTCCATTCGCGGAGACGAGAGAGTCCTCGTAAACAAATGCACGCGGTATCATCTTCGCTCTTAGAATGAAATCATGCAGCGATCACGTGATGCGTGTAGCGTTGCAGGGGCGTCCAAAGTTACGAAATGAAATGTACTTTCACTATAATAACAAAAGTCTTAATACCTGTGGACAGTATTTTGCCATTATTAAATCGTTAAATTAAGGAATTATTTGATCAACCAATATTGCAATTTATATGCTTGACAAGACAAATTTCTACGTAATTGATTACTTAATAACTACTTACAGTATGCTTATTCTGATGAACTGACACTGTCTTCGTTGAGATCTATAGCCATCTTATAGTGCGCAAGTAACGTCGCCTCCATAAGGTAATATCATCTCTGTCTATTAACATGCTGTCACGTCCGCGTCGAACGTACTTGAAGTGTAGAACTGTTAACAAACTATAAAATGTAGTCCTACAATAAGTACCCAAACCTGTGTCTTCGTTGACTGCTGCCAAAACCTTATCAATCGTAGGCAACTCATGGCGAAAGAAAAAATCATGAATTTTTCTTCTTATTGCATTCCTCTCAAATTCGTCTACACTTTCCGAAAACTGTTTACGACGCTTCACCTTGGGTGATTTCAGAATCTGAGTGGTCTTATATTCCCTAATCACACGATATATGGAAGAGTCGCTGACTCCCGTAGAATATGCTACATTCTTAACGATGTCGGCTATTAAAATGTTCGGATTTAATTGTAATTCCGTTTTATACACATTGAGGATCATATGTTTTCCCGATGAACTTAATGATTTCCTTTTCTGTCGCTTCTTAGGTGGACTCAAAATCTTCATATCTTTTTCGCTCGCAGTCTCCGTAGTGGACATGGCGCACTTACTCGCAGCAAGCCACTTACAAGAACAAGAAAACAAGGAATATAAGTTTTAAAAACACTGTTCAATCTGAATGCATGTTTACGTGCGTCCGAATGCAGTGAGTACACTGAAGTAACTGCGCGCTTTGTCCACTCCTTGCTGTCAGCTGTGGCGACGCGGGGTTTGCTTTGTTTATGCTGTCTCGTCTCCGCGAATGGACTACAGATTACCCTCAGCTAGGATTCTCCTGGTTCTGGACCTTCTTCGTTGCATACAGCTGCCACCATCTATTACATCTTAAGAGGGTTGATGAAAATACTAAGGGCCGGTAGCACGGTAGTCCAGGGTTCTCTGTTGGCTGGCCCCATCATCACTGTCACCTCTTATAATTGGCGTAGAGCGGGCGTGTCGGGTCTGACCCGCCTCTGCCCATCGACTGTCACACCATATATTACACCTCTACTACAGGGGTGGATTTGATATCTCACCGCTGTCACAAATTATTATGTCTCAATGACGGGGGTGGGTTAAAACACACTAAATCACTTTGTCTGCCATTTCTCTGTGGCTAGTCCCTTCTCTACGTCAGTCAACCCTTCGTTGACTCGACCCACCGCCGTTGCCATAAGTAATGCTTCGACGGCAGGGGTGAGTAAAACACAATTACTAATTCTCCCTGTCAGCCACCTCTCGTTGGCCGATCTCCACCTCTGCTATAACTTTGTTATGCCTGAAGGGGGCTAATAAACTATCTGAATTACTCTTCCCTTGTTCCATCAGGAACGCATCCCCTTGTCTCTACTACTAGTCTCTCACCCTTAACTCGGATTCTCATAACCCTTACTTCCAGTTGCATCCGGCTGCCGTTGACCACCTGGGTCAGTTCTGCCTTCGCTTAGGTCTGGGAAAGGGAGGAGTTTGTGAGGGTGAATCATACGCTGGGTACATCCTACCCTAAGTACATTGTCTATGTACACTCTTATTTACAATCCTATTTACGGTATGAACAATGCCGACTTTCAGTCGGGACTTCATTGCGTCTTGACTTTACCATGCTATGACTTCATCATGGTCTCCCCTTCTGGGCTGTAGGACTTGAGTCTGTCTCTTTCTCTCTACTGTTTCGACTCATGAGGATATGCAAGTATTCAACGTTCAATGTGATCCTCTTTCCTCTCTCTATTCCCTACTATTCATTACATAATTCTACATTATTCTGTCATAATACTTCACCCTTATAATATTCTGCCCCTAAAGTTATACATACCGAAAGCCTACATATATTTATCACAAAATCAAGAGTCACAACTATAAACACAAATGTGCGTGCTCTGCACACTACCAGTAATCCTAACACTCTATCTAACGACTGCCATATTTACTACACTAGCAACCTCGCCTATTACTTGTTACACGATTTCTATTATTCTACCCTAAGGGCTCGCCGGGCACACTGGAGTCGGTTTTCAACATTTTACAAACAACAATTTACCAACAACCACAAAGTTTAACAGCCTGGCTAGTATGAGTAAACGTGACTTACTTGAAATAGAGACGCAGCGACACCACAACTTGTAGTACCCATGTCGGACAGAGCCTACGGCTAATTGTTACGTTTTTAGATCGATTTCCATTTAGATTTTTCTCATTTTTATACACTAATTTTGCTGGCACTGCAGTTGGCGAAAGAGGGAGGTTAACTACTCCCTTTGTTCTAAATTTCGGGGTGGAGGGTTTTCATTAGTTGTTTTCTTTGGGGGTGGGCGGGTCCGTAGCGCCTCGTCGCTGCGTATTTAATAATATTATTATAATCCAGTGGCCCACAAACGCGACTTGCAGTGGTGCGATTACGCATTCCTGCTGACTCCAACATTCTTGACCTAGATCGCCTGTCCAGGTGTCGCCATTCTAGCTCGATTGCTGTAAAACGCTTTTCGCAAGTCTCGAAACATTTAGGCAATGTCTTTTGATTTTCAGTCTCGAAATTGCGGCGTAGCACCTTCCTTGTATTTGTCTTTAATATGATAATTTTCCTGAAGTTCAATAATTTCCATTTGAACTTGACGTGGGGCATCTGCAGCATCACAGTCAAACGGATTTTGAAACAATCTAATTTCCTGAGCACTGGAATCTAAATCAGCAAATCGCTTCCGAAATTGTTCTTTCAACCCTGAAATGACTAAATCTGCAAACGAGGTAGGAACTTCTGCTTCACTCTTTTTATGCAACTCTGCACAGTTTAGCATATGAACAAAGTTACAATTTTTCACTTGGTTTTCCAGAAGTATCAACTTTGCTCTGAATGCCTTGATAACTGCAAATAATCACAGACTAAGTTATTTTCACCCTGCAACTTGAAATCCAAATGATTCATTTGGTTCACCAGATCAGCAAAAAATGCAAATTTCCAAAACCACTCGGTATCTGATGAAAGTGGTTCGTGATGGCTTTTCTCGGTAAGAAATATATCAATCTCATTCCTGAGCTGAAAGAAGCGCGAAAGAACCTTTCCATAGCTAAGCCATCGAACTGCAGTATAATATGTTAGGTCAATAAGCTCGGAATCACATTTACCAATACTCACTGGGAAATTAGTTCAATTGGCGCATTTCTGCACAACTCTTTCGCGGGCCAGATAAAATCACATCGCGGGCCGGATGTGGCCCGCGGGTCGTAGTTTGGAGACCCTTGGTCTAGATAATGTGGGACCCTCAACGTCTCACAAACCTATGGGCCTTCACGGCTTGGTACAGGGATAGCTTTTCTTTTTTTTTTTTTTTTAACCCATTGAAGACCTACCTTTTCAACGCAATAAAATTTAGTTCCTAGGGTAGTCGGTATCAGGGGAAGCGGTGAAACTGGGATAGGGGGAAGGGAAACATGCATAACTGCCATCTCTACGCATACTACATGAACTAGATAGTCTGGAAATAATTGGAATCGATCATAATACACCTATCGCAATTAATCGAATCGCTAAGTGTGAGCCAATCAGAGAATCTTGAATTTCCGTTGAAGGATTTGGGCGTTGGATCAGTAATACTGCGTGGTTTGTAATGTTACGTGTGCACCTTAGAGGTACGTCGCGCAATTAATTAGATCACTTACTAAGTAGGGAGACGACATTTTAATTTTCCTTGGCACTACAGCCCCAGTGGGCCTAGGCCTACCTCCATGAACTTCTCCGTTCACTTCGGTTTTTCTAGATCTTACACATTCGGTAGGACTCCTTGGGCGGGTGATCAGCTCGTCGCAAGGCCTCTACCTGTACACAAACACAGAAAAACGCACACACACAAGCTAAATATCCATGCCCTGGGTGTGATTCGAACCCACGATCCCGGTTTCCAAGCGAGCGAAGACAGTACATGCCTTACACCGCTCGGCTACCGTGACCGGCTGAGACGACATTTACACACGAATATACATCTGTGTGTTATTTTTGTATATGGATTATTATGCTTACTACTCCCAGTGAAATTAAAAACAATCATGAAGCCAAAAAGTGTTGCTACGATATTTAATCAAAATCGTATTTCTGTATTTTAAGCATCTATCGGTGTAGCCTAATTATGCTTACTACTCCCAGTGAAATTAAAAACAATCATGAAGCCAAAAAGTGTTGCTACGATATTTAATCAAAATCGTATTTCTGTATTTTAAGCATCTATCAGTGTAGCCTAATTAGAACCGTAAAATCTCAAGAAACTCTTGAGAGTGCTGCGATTGTGTTATAATATTTATTTGTTTCTTGCAGGATAAATGGGAAGAATAAGGAAATGTTTTGCTCCTGGGTGCGTGTCATGCAGCGAGCACACTGGAATCAAATTCTATTTTCCCAGGGATTCAGCACGGTATGAGCCGATGTAAAATATTATTATAAAACATACTGTAAAATTTTGGCCAGTGTTATTAAAGGAGCTAAAAATCTTCATTATAATTAATTTCTAATTCCAGTAACAAAATGAAAACCACCTTGAGCATTAAAAAATCAGACACAGGTAGAAAAATTAATAATTTAGATATAGAGTTTTTAAACAGTTATGTGAAGTTAACTGATATCATAATGTGATTACAGATTCTTCTAATAATAATTTTCGAACAATAGCTGACAAGAGCAATACCAATAATGCAAATCCAGAACTCACAGACACACTTAAGACATATAATTGTCCAATACTAATTAAATGGAAAATCACAGAAAAAAGAAGACTCCAACTGAGCTGGCTCCCTTTACAAACTCCAGAGAGCAAACGACTACTTAACGCAGCAACACAGGAACTCAAACAACTCCTCAACACTAACAAAAACGACCGCATCCAAACGTTCCTGCACGGTCTCACACCAACAGAAGCCACCGACTACTCCTTGTGGAAGGTGACCAAAAGAATAAATCAGGTCAAGAAATTCTCCCCACCCCTCAGAACACCACACGGAACCTGGGCAAAAAGCAATGTCGATAAAACACGCCTTCGCAAAACACCTAACAAAAGTTTTCCAGCTGCATTCCACAGAAAATAAACCCGAAGAGGAAGAAGTACTTACACAACTTCTGAACACCCCCAATCAACTTGAACCTCCACCCAATCGCTTTAAGAGAGCTGAAGTCCAAGAAATCATCACCAGCTTAAATCCTAAAAAATCATCAGGATACAACCTCATCACTGGCAAAATCCTTAAAGAGCTACCTCCTATTGGAATAAAATATCTCACCCAACTATTCAATGCAGCTTTATCCAAAGGATACTTCCTGACCCAATGGAAAGTTGCACGGATCATTCTCATACCAAAGCCTGGTAAACCTCCTAACAAGTTAACATCTTACCGGCCAATAAGCCTATTACCCATTGTATCTAAAGTATTTGAAAAGCTTCTCCTAAAAAGGATCTTGCCAATGGTTGAAAGATTAATACCAAATCATCAGTTTGGCTTCAGGAAGAGACACTCCACAATAGGACACACCGTATTATACAAAAGATAAATGAAGCCATAGATAACAAACAATACTGTTCGGCAGCATTTTTAGACATCTTGCAAGCATTTGACAAAGTATGGCATACAGGACTCCTATACAAGTTAAAACGGTCTCTCCCTCCGAACTATTTCACTATCCTCAAGTCCTACTTGCACAATAGACACTTCCTCGTACAAGTCGAAACAGAGCACACAGAACTATTCCCAATCAATGCGGGTGTACCCCAAGGCAGCGTCCTAGGGCTGCTATTATACCTATTATATACTGCAGACCTCCCAACCACTTCAGAAACAATCACAGCAAGCTTTGCTGATGACACCACTGTGGTAGCCACAGATAATGATCCAGCTGCTGCTTTGCAGAAACTGCAAACCAACCTACTGGCAATTCAAAACTGGATAAAAAATTGAGAATGAAAGTAAATGAATCCAAATTGATCCACGTTATGTTCACCACAAGAAAAGAAACATGCCCACCGGTACACATAAAACAACGCACGACTCTCCCGAGAAGAAGACGTCAAGTATCTTGGACTGCACCTTGACAGACGACTTACCTGGCACAAACACATCCTAACTAAACGGAAACAACTGGGAATTACCCTCACCAAAATTCACTGGCTACTTGGACGTAAATCAAAACCTTCTACAGGCAACAAACTCCTTATATACAAAACAATCCTCAAACCAATCTGGACCTATGGAATACAACTTTGGGGTACAGCTTCCAACTCAAACGTAGCAATTCTAGAACGATTTCAAGCCAAAGCCTTGCGCATGATAGTGGACGCACCTTGGTACGTACCAAACATAGTCATCTGAAGAGATCTCCAAATACCAACAGTGAGAGAAGAAATTCACCGATACAGCGCCCTATACAATACTCGGCTCAGAGCACATCCAAACAACCTAGCCGTCCACCTTACGGAGCCACCGGAATTCAGGCGACTGCAAAGACATCTGCCAAATGACCTGCCCACCAGATTTATATTGCAATAGTATACCAATAATTCTTGATTAAAGATCTAGATAGTAAGCTCTCCCCCAAAACTCACATGAGGCCTCAAGCCTAATCACTAAAGAAGAGTGCAAATGAGCTCTCCTCTTCAAGTCATGTACACCATAAAAATTTGCTGAATGTAATAGTACAGACTGCAAATAAAATGGGACTATATTTTATTAATTTCTGAACGTCACATGGCCTGATCCTTAGAGAGGAGTTGTCATCTATGGCTTCCAGCAGAGCTTGAACTCTAGCCTCCACCCGCTGTTCATGGTTTTCGTCGCACAGGTCATGTGGCGTGAACTAATTTTCCAAACAGTCGGCAATTTCATTGTCTTTTTCAGAAGGATGAAATTTAAGGCCAGAAGAACCATAAATAGCAGTTGGTGCCCTTGGTCCGTCTCTCTTAAGGAGAGATTTCGCAATGGGCCATTTACTCTGAGGTGTGACTTCAGCGTTACCTATTTCTTATGAGTGTTCATCAAATTATAAAAGGAACTGAAAGACTTGGAGTTCATTGTTAATTACATTATTAATCATAAAGAATGAATAAGAGTTCTGCAGTCCATGTAGAGAATACTAAAATTCAGCAAAGTGTGGCTTGAGCTGTTGAAATGTGTGACTTCAGTTTTTTGTCTCTATTTTTTTTATTTATTAATGTTACAGACCTTGAGTTACAAAACCTTTAAATTTGTTTCAGAATTTGGTGAACACCTCCAAGGATGACTGAACAGCTTGAGTCCATAGGTGGAATCAATAATTTTGATTACATTTTCGTGTTGTATCAAATGTATTCTAACTGAATTGAGTACATTCATGATAAAACACCAACTATGTCAGCTATAAATTTTGGTTGAGAAATATGTGTAGTAATATATAACACTAATTAACAAATGATATGGTGCTTTTACACAAGGCCAAATGGAAGCAAACAGAACTCACACAATGCAAATTAATTCATTCTCAATAATTTTAAAAATGACAGTTTTAAATTAATATTGTCAGGTGTACCGAAGAGACTAATAATTACAGGACAGATAAGAGCGCTTCTGAGGACGTTATGTAATGGCACAAGCAGGACAATGGACAATTACCATGGGAAGGTTTACCAGAAAACATTCTATAGACATTAAAATGTGTCATTATAATGGAGTGGAAAATAGATTTAGGTGTTTGAGGAGATCTGTATAGAGAAATTTCCCTACCCTTTTCCACTGAAAAAGTGTTCATTGCTAATGGAACTAATGAGTTTATTCTCTCTTTTAAGGAATTCCCTTTCTTTGAGAATTATGAATTGGATCTCAAAGGAAGTATACTTGGAGATGGAAGTTTCTCAGTGTGTTATAAATGCACAAATTGAGAGACAGGAAGGAAGTAGTGACTTGTAATAAGTAGTTACTATAGGATTCTGATGATGGTGTATAACACACTGATATATTGGGTTTTTGGACTTTATCCATCATCCTGGTTTTTAAGATAACTAATAAAAACACGACGTTTCGGAAACTGGATCTGTTTCCGTCCTCAGGTGAGGTCACTGGAGGTCCAGTGATTGAGGCTAGCTCTTTCTAACGGACCCAACAGAATAGGTTTTTCCTTCACCTGAGGATGGAAACAGATCCAGTTTCCGAAACGTTGTGTTTTTATTAGTTATCTTAAAAACCAGGACGATGGATAAAGTCCAAAAACCCAATATATCAGAGTGACTTGTAATATTGACTGCATGCAATTTTGCTGTGAATATGCCAGGGCCATCCAAATATTGTTGGGCTTCATGCAGGATACTTTCATCAGGTGAGTGCGTGCAGTCTGAGTATTACTCTGAATGTTCAATTGTGAAACTTAGAACACAGGTACTGTATATACCGGTGTATAAGATGAGTGATGCATAAGGTGACCCTTGAATTTTCAAATAAAACCTTGAAATTCCAGTTATTCTTGCCGGATAACATGGCTATAAAATAAATCACAGAACACCGTTTATGCTATTAGTGTCCACCTTGGTAGTGGTAGGTTGGCTCTGGTGTTTGTTTATACTACGCAAGCTTCTAAATGGTAAGTTGTATCAAGTTCTTTCTCATAATTTTGTAGTTATGGTAATTGTGGTCATGTTACTCCACCACACATTATTTTATTATAGGTTCTATGTAATTATGTATTCCAAACATGAGTTTCAGTATAAATAACAATGGTGGGAATTCAGTGATGCAGAGCAGTTGTTAAATTTGAAGTAACATTTCTAGAATTTAGGTTCCACATTTTATGTTTTTTGTATGAGACAACCCATAGTTTTGGGGGCTCTCTTTAGCCCAAAAAGTAATCTTATATGCCAGTGCAGACAGCATTAAAAAAATGAATAAAGCAATTACACTGGTGACTCACTCTGAAACTGTGTATGCATTTGCTAACACCTTTATATAAAGTTTAGTTCATGAATGAAAATTTTAGTTTAATTTAACAGTTTTTCATTAAAGTTTTCTGCAAATCACTGTAAAAAAAGTAACTATTATTGTAACAAAAATAAATAATCCAGTAGGCTAGCATATATTATTGAGGTAAGAAGGGAAATAAAAAATTATTAGTGTACATTATTTCCATAGTACATAAATTCTCTTTCATGAATAAAATACTAGTATACTTTCATTAGTATATTTGTGGGTTTTCTCTTTTGGTTCTTTTCTCTGTTCCATTTTTTCCAGTGTGTTTAAAAGGAGGGATGTAAATGAATATACATATATTTGAAGACAGAGAATGTTAAAAGAATGTTATGCTTCCAAAATCATTAGTTTCTGAAGCAAATTGAAAGTTTTCATGAATAATAACTGTAGGATAAATACACAAATTTCAATTTTACATTTTCCTAATTTTCCTCTTTGCTTTTAATTGAAGTTATGATACATAATTATGAAAAATGGAATAGTGAATAAATAAATTTACTCTTAATACTGGCATATGCAAGAGTTATATTTATAATGGAGAAAAGAATTTTGAAAAATGTTTAGAGCTGAAACAAGAACAAATATATTCTGTACTAAACCAATTTTTTTTTCACTGAAATCACAATTTATAATATCAGTCAGTTTTCACAACTTACTGAAATATACTAATTACCCTTTTGATGTTGGGTCCGTTTTCAATGAAAAGTAGTTGCAAATTACTATATTAAAGAAATTGTATTCTAGGGAGATGCCTTAATTCTCCATAGGCAGGAAGAGGGAAACTCTGTTGACAAGTTGACTCTTATTAGTACTGCCAGCCATTATATTTATGAAGACTGGGTAGTTTCTTTCCAACTGTGCAAAGGGAAAATAGTTGTATGAAAGTTCTTTCAGTCTTAGGTTAGAAAATCAACAGTCAGACTGTCATAAAGTATTTTTTTTTTCAGTTTGCTCTTGAAAATTTGAGTCCCACACATGCACACCCAAAACACAGTTCTTAATTAACTGCACAGAGGAAACTCTTTAATGAGAAGCTAATGGTTACTAAAGTAATTAAGAAACATCGGACACAAAAGTTCATTATCATGTTCACAGAATTCTGCCATTGCTCTCTATCATGAGCCAAATAAATTATGTCCATATAATTCCATTCTGCTTCTTTGGATTCACTTAATATTATCATTCCAATTAGACCTGGGTCTTTCATTTGGCTCTTCGCTTCAAGTTTTCTGATCAGAATTTTGTATTCATCTGTACGCAATTATTCGAGTCTGTGATTTTTTCCCCTTTCTTTCATTTTTTTTTTCAAGGCACATACATATATTGCGTTGGAGCTCTTATGCAGTAATGAACTACTGGACAGAACCAGGAAGCATGGTAGATTCTCTACTGACACCAAAGAAAGTTGGATTATAAGGAAACCCATCTCTCTGTCCTCAACTTTATGCTCTCCTGCGGGATTGTTTACCAAGATCTCAAGCCCCAGGTATGTGAAGTATCATCATCATCATCATCCTTAAATGTGTAGGCTCTTAGTCTTTTCCACCTCAGCATGGTCATCAGTTTCTGTTCTCTGACTTTAGAAGCATTCCTCTTTTGGAATCTTGTGATCTATAAGTACAGTTTTCTTAGGTAAATTTTTCTTTTCATTCTAGAAATAACAGTCATTCTTTCATGGACTTATAATCTCAAAACTGCTAATGTTATGGAGTGATTTTTTGGTTCTTAATTAGTGAGTTAATTCATTTATTTGTTTATTTATTGATCCATTCATGTCTAATAACAGATTGAAATAAATGCAAGTAACAGAAGAATGAGGATGAAATAAATGTGTTATTTACACGAAGTTACTTTTGTTGTTTTGAAGAGGAAACAAAAAATAGAACAGTTTTTAGATTGTGTTCATGTGGTTTTCAAAATTTGTACTCTTTAATAAGTATTTTGGAAGAAAATATTTCCTCCATCTACTTTGAAGATAATAGTCTAAACTATTACTGCCATGAAAACCTCAAATCTTATATAAAATATGATGTATGTCTTACTTACTTACTTACTAATGGTGCTGAGCCCTTCTTGAGGAGCTGCCAATTCTGCAGCTACTCAAGAATTTCACAGCATTTTATGGAAATCGAAGGTTCATTACCGTGTTCACAAGAGACCTCCACTGGTCCATATCCTGAGCCAGATCAATCTAATCCATACAAACCTATCCTATCTCTCAAAGTCCATTTTAATATTGGCCACCCACCTATGCTTTGGTCTTCACAATGGTCTGTTTCCTTCTGGCTTTCCCACCAATATCCTATATGCATTCCTGGTCTCCCCTATTCATGCTACATGCCCCGCCCACCTCATCCTCCTTGATTTGATCGTTCTAATTATACTTGGAGACGAGTACAAGTTATGAAGCTCCTCATTATGCAGTTTTCTCCAACCTCCTGTCACTTCGTCTCTCTTCGGTCCAAATATTCTCCTCAACACCCTGTTCTCAAACACCCTCAGTCTATGTTCCTTCCTTAATGTCAGAGACCAATTTTCACAATCATACAGAACCAGAGTCAAAATTATAGTTTTGTATATTCTAATTTTTATGTTTTCGGACAGCAGACGAGAAGTTCAAAGGTTCTGGACTGAATGGTATCAAGCATTACCCGAGTTCAATCTCCTCTTAATTTCCTCCTGAATCAGGTTTCGATCTGTTATCGGTGTCCCCAAATATCTGAACTGTCACATTTTCAAAACATCTGTTTCCTATCTTTATGTCATGATTTTGCCCAGCATTTTGGTGATGAGACAGTAAGATATACTTAGTTTTCTCTGTGTTTACTTCTAGATCAACCTCTTTACTTGCGTCTAATTAAAGTCTGTGTGTTTTTCTTTATGGTATCTACATTATCACCCAGTAGATTCACATCATCTACGTAGACCAACAGCTGATGTGTCTCACTAAAGCAAAGTTGAAAAGGAATGGCATTAAAGCATCTCCTTGATTTAGACCATTCTGGATAGGAAATTTATCAGACAACTGTTTACCTATACGGACTTTACTATATGTTTCTTTTAAATACATTTTAATCAGCCTAACCAGTTTCATGGGTATCCCAAACTCTATCACAATATTGTACAATACTTCCCTCCTAACTGAATCATAGGCTTTCTTGAAATTACGTAGTGTATGTCTATCAGAACTAATTTCACTCTTTCATGTAAGACTGAAACAAGAGAAGGAGCCAATTCACATGTCATGCTCTGCTCTGCATTATGCTTCCCCTCCCATACTTAAAGAATCATTCAGAAATGGTACAGATGGCTTGATGAAAATTGTGACTTATGGAGCCTGGGAATGGTTTTGGTGAGTGCATCCAGAGTATTCCTGACAAGGTAAAAATGTGTTAAACAAGTGAGATAGAAAAACACTCAGCAGAGAAAGAGAAATTTGAAACATACAACTTTAGAACAGCACATGTAACAAATGACCAAAATAGCACTCACGTTACAGACTGCTCTCAGTGTTACAATATGAAGTGCATTTTTAGAAGTTCACTCGCCTCATCTAGGACCACAGTGCATGGAGAATACCTTTACTGCCCCTATGGATCTTCATGGTGTGGTACTTATAGTGTACACAGGGGGGCACTAATCTGAGGGCCTTATTACAGTAGCAATGTACAATATTTACAGAAAATAAAAAACTGTGTATATGCTTTCTTTTAACACTTTGAGTCTGAGAGTATTTAAACATTTAAACTTTCTGTACTAAAGGGTTTTAAGTGATGATTAAGAAATTCATAATTTTTATAATATTTTACATAATAGTTTGAAATTTGGGTATACAAAAGGACAAGCTTCCCCCAAGCGCCTTCCAAAAAGTAAACTACTGATGATTAATTGTTAGGGGATGCCATAGTTGTAAATCTTGAGGTTGATACAGTGGAATAATTGCCAACAAATGAAGATAATTAAATGATCTATCTGACCATGATGGGCAACTATTGTTTGTATAGCAAAAAGAGATCAGTA